TTTTTGTTTTCCTTCATCAAGTGAGAGACATGTAGCCTAGCTTTAGCATTTAGCAGCTTTAGCATCTCCTTTGCCGCTAACGGAGCCCGTGGGGAGTAGCGCCAAAACATCTTTGCTTCAATGACATTTACTAAACATTCCTCTTGCTCCGGCTTCAGTTTCTTGATATTTGGATTGAACCAGAACAGATTATTTTACTATCGCATTCTCCGACAAACTACAACCAGCAAATTCAGCACAAACTCTTGACGTCACCGACACCGACCTACAACACCCGCCTCCCCCGCTCTCTGATTGGTCGGAGGAGATTCAACCGAGGAAACTGCAGCCACTAGGATCAGACCCAGACGTACATGTAGGAAATGACCATGGACCAGAGTTTACACATGGTAAGACCAGACGTACATGTAGGAGATGATCATGGACCAGAGTTTACACATGGTAAGACCAGACGTACATGTAGGAAATGACCATGGACCAGAGTTTACACATGGTAAGACCAGACGTACATGTAGGAAATGACTATGGACCAGAGTTTACACATGGTAAGACCAGACGTACATGTAGGAAATGATCATGGACCAGAGTTTACACATGGTAAGACCAGACGTACATGTAGGAGATGACCATGGACCAGAGTTTACACATGGTAAGACCAGACGTACATGTAGGAAATGATCATGGACCAGAGTTTACTGATGCTAATGTTAATGCTAATGCTAATGCTAATGCTAGGCTACATCTAGATAAACTTGTCTCGTGTCTTTCCTCTGCTTCAGGACCTGGAGGCTCTTTCGCAGGAGCTGGTTCGCATCAGTAAAGACGGCTCCATCTCCAGCTCAGGATGAAGCTTCCTGGTTTTTTATGAAATGTCTCAGACTGGATTTGAACCGGACTCGACCCAGGCTCTGTTCACACGCAGCGGGTTCAGAGACAGATGTAAAACATGGACATTACACGTGGGAATGACCTCAGATTAAAACACACACAGAGAAAGACCATTTAACTCTTGACTAACGGAGAACATGATCGGCTTCCTCTAAAACTCTTTGATAATCCAGTCCCGGTGAACAGAGCCTGTGTTTTTGAATGTCTTTTTGACTTCTTTTAATCCAGTTTACACCAACCTCATCCAGCGACGGCTTTTTCAGCACATTGAAAAATCCCTTTTGGTTTTTTAACTTGGAAATATTGCGTCATGGCAGCTCTACATGTAATAATTCTTAGATATTTTCCTCTTCTTGCATGTCCATACCATCTCAATCTGCACATGTCTGACTTTAGTATGCAGTTATATATATTTACATAAGCGTGCTAAGTCTCTCTCTCTGGTCTCTCTCTGGTCTCTCTCTGGTCTCTCTCTGGTCTCTCTCTGGTCTCTCTCTGGTCTCTCTCTGGTCTCTCTGGTCTCTCTGGTCTCTCTCTGGTCTCTCCCTGGTCTCTCTCTCTGGTCTCTCTCTGGTCTCTCTCTCTGGTCTCTCTCTGGTCTCTCTCCCTGGTCTCTCCCTGGTCTCTCTCTGGTCTCTCTCTGGTCTCTCCCTGGTCTCTCTCTGGTCTCTCTCTCTGGTCTCTGGTCTCTCCCTGGTCTCTCTCTGGTCTCTCTCTCTGGTCTCTCTCTGGTCTCCCTGGGGTCTCCCTGGTCTCTCTCTGGTCTCTCTCTCTGGTCTCTCTCTGGTCTCTCTGGTCTCTCCCTGGTCTCTCTCTGGTCTCTCTGGTCTCTCTCTGGTCTCTCTCTGGTCTCTCCCTGGTCTCTCCCTGGTCTCTCCCTGGTCTCTCTCTGGTCTCTCTCTGGTCTCTCTCAGGTCTTTTTGGTCTCTCTCTGGTCTCTCTCTGGTCTCTCTCTGGTCTCTCTCCCTGGTCTCTCTCTGGTCTCTCTCTGGTCTCTCTCTGGTCTCTCTCTGGTCTCTCTCTCTGGTCTCTCTCTGGTCTCTCTCTCTGGTCTCTCTCTCTGGTCTCTCCCTGGTCTCTCTCTCTGGTCTCTCTCTCTGGTGTCACTCCCTGGTCTCTCTCTGGTCTCTCTCTGGTCTCTCTCCCTGGTCTCTCTCTGGTCTCTTTGGTCTCTCTCTGGTCTCTCTCTGGTCTCTCTCCCTGGTCTCTCTCTGGTCTCTCTCTCTGGTCTCTCTCTCTGGTCTCTCCCTGGTCTCTCTCTGGTCTCTCTCTGGTCTCTCTCCCTGGTCTCTCTCTGGTCTCTCTCTGGTCTCTCTCTGGTCTCTCTCTGGTCTCTCTCTGGTCTCTCTCTGGTCTCTCTCTCCCTGGTCTCTCTCTGGTCTCTCTCTGGTCTCTCTCCCTGGTCTCTCTCTGGTCTCTCTCTGGTCTCTCCCTGGTCTCTCTCTGGTCTCTCTCCCTGGTCTCTCTCTGGTCTCTCCCTGGTCTCTCTCTCTGGTCTCTCTCTCTGGTGTCTCTCCCTGGTCTCTTCCTGGTCTCTCTCTGGTCTCTCTCTGGTCTCTCTCCCTGGTCTCTCTCTGGTCTCTTTGGTCTCTCTCTGGTCTCTCTCTGGTCTCTCTCCCTGGTCTCTCTCTGGTCTCTCTCTCTGGTCTCTCCCTGGTCTCTCTCTGGTCTCTCCCTGGTCTCTCTCCCTGGTCTCTCTCTGGTCTCTCTCTGGTCTCTCTCTGGTCTCTCTCTGGTCTCTCTCTGGTCTCTCTCTGGCTCTCTCCCTGGTCTCTCTCTGGTCTCTCTCTGGTTTCTCTCCCTGGTCTCTCTCTGGTCTCTCTCTGGTCTCTCCCTGGTCTCTCTCTGGTCTCTTCCTGGTCTCTCCCTGGTCTCTCCCTGGTCTCTTCCTGGTCTCTCTGGTCTCTCCCTGGTCTCTCTCTGGTCTCTCCCTGGTCTCTCTCTGGTCTCTCCCTGGTCTCTCCCTGGTCTCTCTCTGGTCTCTCTCTGGTCTCTCTCTGGTCTCTCTCTGGTCTCTCCCTGGTCTCTCTCTGGTCTCTCTCCCTGGTCTCTCTCTGGTCTCTCCCTGGTCTCTCTCTCTGGTCTCTCTCTCTGGTGTCTCTCCCTGGTCTCTTCCTGGTCTCTCTCTGGTCTCTCTCTGGTCTCTCTCCCTGGTCTCTCTCTGGTCTCTCTCTGGTCTCTCCCTGGTCTCTCTCTGGTCTCTCCCTGGTTTCTCTCTGGTCTCTCTCTGGTCTCTTCCTGGTCTCTCTCTCTGGTCTCTCTCTGGTCTCTCTCTGGTCTCTCTCTGGTCTCTCTCTGGTCTCTTTCTGGTGTCTCTCTGGTCTCTCTCTGGTCTCTCCCTGGTCTCTTCCTGGTCTCTCTCTGGTCTCTTCCTGGTCTCTCTCTCTGGTCTCTCTCTGGTCTCTCTCTGGTCTCTCTCTGGTCTCTCTCTGGTCTCTCTCTGGTCTCTCTCTCTGGTCTCTCTCTGGTCTCTCTCTCTGGTCTCTCTCTGGTCTCTCCCTGGTCTCTCTCTGGTCTCTCTCTGGTCTCTCCCTGGTCTCTCTCTGGTCTCTCTCTGGTCTCTCTCTCTGGTCTCTCTCTGGTCTCTCCCTGGTCTCTCTCTGGTCTCTCTCTGGTCTCTCTCTGGTCTCTCTCTGGTCTCTCTCTGGTCTCTCTCTGGTCTCTCTCTGGTCTCTCTCTCTGGTCTCTCTCTGGTCTCTCTCTGGTCTCTCTCTCTGGTCTCTCTCTGGTCTCTCCCTGGTCTCTCTCTGGTCTCTCTCTGGTCTCTCTCTGGTCTCTCCCTGGTTTCTCTCTGGTCTCTCTCTGGTCTCTTCCTGGTCTCTCTCTCTGGTCTCTCTCTGGTCTCTCTCTGGCCTCTCTCTGGTCTCTCTCTGGTCTCTCTCTGGTCTCTCTCTGGTCTCTCCCTGGTCTTTCTCTGGTCTCTCTCTGGTCTCTCTCTGGTCTCTCTCTGGTCTCTCTCTGGTCTCTCCCTGGTCTCTTCCTGGTCTCTCTCTGGTCTCTCTCTGGTCTCTCTCTGGTCTCTCTCTCTGGTCTCTCTCTGGTCTCTCTCTGGTCTCTCTCTCTGGTCTCTCTCTGGTCTCTCTCTGGTATCTCTCTGGTCTCTCTCTCTGGTCTCTCTCTGGTCTCTCCCTGGTCTCTTCCTGGTCTCTCCCTGGTCTCTCCCTGGTCTCTCTCTGGTCTCTCCCTGGTCTCTCCCTGGTCTCTCCCTGGTCTCTTCCTGGTCTCTCCCTGGTCTCTCTCTGGTCTCTCTCTGGTCTCTCCCTGGTCTCTTCCTGGTCTCTCCCTGGTCTCTCCCTGGTCTCTTCCTGGTCTCTCCCTGGTCTCTCTCTGGTCTCTCTGTTTCAAAGCTGTGAGAGGGCGTAGTCCATTATGAAGGGGGTAAAGTTCATCCACAGAAACATTTTGCTCTGATTTGGTGTAAACTGCTCTAAAAACTAAATAAATAAAAAAAAACATGTTTGTTCCATGTTTCTGGTATAAGTCTGTAACGTTCGCTGCTGCTTTTTGTCTTGAACTGCTTCCCAAACGGTTTCACTGCAGAAACAAAGTGAGATGTTTGTTGAAAAAGAATCTTTGTCAACAAGAATACGACCCACACTGCAAAAAATGGTAAAATATGAGGTTAAAAAACGGCTTGAATCCAGCGGTTTTTAAGCTTATTTTCTCATTCTAAAGGAGACATTTCTGTATCGTATAAAAACAAGATAATTTTGCTTTGTCCTATTGGATAAATCTTGTTTAAGGCTCAGTCAAAATGTGCTCAAATAAAAATACATTCACAAATTCAAGCCGTTTCCAACTCATTTCTCACCACTTTTTGCAGTGTAGCCCCTGTTAGCTTCATGCTAACCGTGGCTAATGGCGTCCTCACTGTATTTGTTGATGAAAATAAGTTGACTCCATTCTCTCTGAGTCTTGTGAAGCCTTATGAAGCTGTAATCGCCGTTATCGTCTGGACTGGGCTCGGTCTCACTGCTGCAGGCGGCTCTTTCGCTCTCTGTTTTTAACGTGTTATATTTTATCTGTATATAACGCTGTATCTGTGTGAAAAATCTATTATTTATGATTATAACTCTACTGTAACTGAATAAACGTGTCACAACCTTTTTGGCGGCTTTCAAGTTTGTCCAGTGTTAAATGCGTATCATTATATGTCTAATTTATTTAGTTTTGGGGAAAATCTGGTTTTATTTTGATTGCATGAGACGTATTTAGAGCTGCGTTCAAAGCCACCGGTTCTGTTTGATAATTTTCCTTTGTGTTCTTAATCTTTCCAACTTTAATTAATCTTTGGCTCTGTGCGGTTTCTTTCATTAACCCTGTTTTAATCAGGTCCAAGTCGTTAAAGCGGCTCCACACCTGCACTTAGTCTGGATCTCTGAGGACCAACTGTGTCAGACATTAACTCCCAACTCCTGGAGACGCCACAACTTTGGAAAAATGTACCAGATTTGAAACTGTTTTGGCCCAAGTTTAAAAACAATAACAGAAAATATAAGTTAAATAATAAGTTAAAGCAGCAGTCTGTAAAAATGTGTCCAAACGTGGTACTGCAGCCTCTCCCACTCTCCCTGACTCAGGTTGCCAGATATGCAGACGAATCCAGCTGGGACCATAACAGCTGAATAGACAAGAGTTTTGTCAACAACAAATCTATAACCAACACCTTTTTCACAAAGATAGAAATCCTGGTTTTATTCCTTGTTTTGTCGTTAATGATTTGAGAATCATAACGAGACCTTTTTTAGTTCTGCGCCACACGGTACTTTACCAGTGAGATTAGCTCCACACGGTGAGTTCTGGCGCCCGGAACATGGACTTTCTGATTGGTGAAACGGTGGAGCAGTTTGGACCAAGAGCCACTTTTGGACTGCCACATGGTACCCTCCCCCACTGGTCCCATCGCTGCCTCTGATGACTGCTGGTGTCTGTGGAAGTGGACCATGTGACCTCCTGCTGAAGTTTAGCCGACGCACCTATGCTAACCTCACTGGACTTGGAGGTAACGGGTCGAGGAGTCGTGAAGCTTAATATTTAATGTCCTGTTATATACTCTGCCTTCTATGCACTCATTTATTATTGATGTGAGATCATTTCTGACGCTTATTTAAAACACAACGGGCTCGATCTGTCACGAGATCTTTCTAAACACAACATTTTAGCCTCGTTTAGACGGAGACGCGACAAAGCTATTAGCAAGAAACAACCAGGGCCGTATTTGAAGAGGCCGGCGTCTGAACAACGATGGAGAACGATGTAGTTCTAGCGCCCGGCCAGTAGGGGGCAGTGGAAGTTTGCGAAAGCCAGGTCCTGTCAGACCTCTGAAGCTGTGCAGGGCAGGGCCTGGTTAGTGCTGTGATGGGAGACCTCTGGGAACAGCAGGTGCCACAGTGGGGCGGCTGTAAAGTGCCAAACTGTGGTTGTGTCCTTAGGCAAGACACTTCCCCCACATTAGAATGAGTCTGGTGTGTGTTTCTCTCTGGTCTCTCTCTGGTCTCTCTCTGGTCTCTCTGGTCTCTCTCTCTGGTCTCTCTCTGGTCTCTCTCTCGTCTCTCTCTGGTGTCTCTCTCTGGTCTCTCTCTGGTCTGGTCTCTCTCTGGTGTCTCTGGTCTCTCTCTGGTCTCTCTCTCTGGTCTCTCTCTGGTCTCTCTCTCTGGTCTCTCTCTGGTCTCTCTCTGGTCTCTCTCTCTGGTCTCTCTCTGGTGTCTCTCTCTGGTCTCTCTCTGGTCTCTCTCTGGTCTCTCTCTGGTCTCTCTCTCTGGTCTCTCTCTGGTCTCTCTCTCGTCTCTCTCTGGTGTCTCTCTCTGGTCTCTCTCTGGTGTCTCTGGTCTCTCTCTGGTCTCTCTCTCTGGTCTCTCTCTGGTCTCTCTCTGGTCTCTCTCTGGTCTCTCTCTCTGGTCTCTCTCTGGTGTCTCTCTGGTCTCTCTCTCTGGTCTCTCTCTGGTCTCTCTCTCTGGTATCTCTCTGGTCTCTCTCTGGTCTCTCTCTCTGGTCTCTCTCTGGTCTCTCTCTGGTCTCTCTCTGGTCTCTCTCTGGTCTCTCTCTCTGGTCTCTCTCTGGTCTCTCTCTCTGGTCTCTCTCTGGTCTCTCTCTGGTCTCTCTCTGGTCTCTCTCTGGCCTCTCCCTGGTCTCTCTCTAGTCTCTCTCTGGTCTCTCTCTCTGGTCTCCCTCTGGTCTCTCTCTGGTCTCTCTCTCTGGTCTCTCTCTGGTCTCTCTCTGGTCTCTCTCTGGTCTCTCTCTGGCCTCTCCCTGGTCTCTCTCTAGTCTCTCTCTGGTCTCTCTCTCTGGTCTCTCTCTGGTCTCTCTCTCTGGTCTCTCTCTCTGGTCTCTCTCTGGTCTCTCTCTGGTCTCTCTCTAGTCTCTCTCTGGTCTCTCTCTGGTCTCTCTCTGGTCTCTCTCTGATCCTTAGTCAAGACACTTCCCCCACAGTAGAATGAGTCTGGTGTGTGTTTCTCTCTGGTCTCTCTGGTCTCTCTCTCTGGTCTCTCTCTGGTCTCTCTCTCGTCTCTCTCTGGTGTCTCTCTCTGGTCTCTCTCTGGTCTGTCTCTGGTCTCTCTCTGGTCTCTCTCTCTGGTCTCTCTCTGGTCTCTCTCTCTGGTCTCTCTCTGGTCTCTCTCTGGTCTCTCTCTCGTCTCTCTCTGGTGTCTCTCTCTGGTCTCTCTCTGGTCTGGTCTCTCTCTGGTCTCTCTCTGGTCTCTCTCTCTGGTCTCTCTCTGGTCTCTCTCTCTGGTCTCTCTCTGGTCTCTCTCTGGTCTCTCTCTCTGGTCTCTCTCTGGTGTCTCTCTCTGGTCTCTCTCTGGTCTCTCTCTGGTCTCTCTGGTCTCTCTCTCTGGTCTCTCTCTGGTCTCTCTCTCGTCTCTCTCTGGTGTCTCTCTCTGGTCTCTCTCTGGTGTCTCTGGTCTCTCTCTGGTCTCTCTCTCTGGTCTCTCTCTGGTCTCTCTCTGGTCTCTCTCTCTGGTCTCTCTCTGGTGTCTCTCTGGTCTCTCTCTCTGGTCTCTCTCTGGTCTCTCTCTCTGGTCTCTCTCTGGTCTCTCTCTGGTCTCTCTCTCTGGCCTCTCTCTGGTCTCTCTCTGGTCTCTCTCTAGTCTCTCTCTGGTCTCTCTAGTCTCTCTCTGGTCTCTCTCTGGTCTCTCTCTGGTCTCTCTCTCTGGTCTCTCTCTGGTCTCTCTCTGGTCTCTCTCTAGTCTCTCTCTGGTCTCTCTCTCTGGTCTCTCTCTGGTCTCTCTCTGGTCTCTCTCTGGTCTCTCTCTGATCCTTAGTCAAGACACTTCCCCCACAGTAGAATGAGTCTGGTGTGTGTGTGAATGGTTGGTGGTGGTGGGAGGGGCTGATGGCACAGACTGGTTGCCTCGCTTCTGTCAGTGTGCCCCAGGGCAGCTGTGGCTACAGTAGTTTATCACCACCGTGTTTGGAGAGAGAGAAGAATGATGTGAAGAGACTTTGAGCGTCCAGAAAAACACTGTAAAAACCAGACGCATTATTATTATTATTATTAATTTGATCCCAACTGATAAAGCTTTCCCGGGCCAAAGAGCACCAGAGTCCAGTGCCTTTGGACCAGGTGAACGCAGCCTGACTCCTGGTGCTCGACCTGAACTGTCTTTAGTGACTTTTAAAGGAGTTCAGAGCGTGTGCATTAGTGATGAAGCCAGACACAGGTCAGGTTTCTCTCAGGACAGAAGACGGGAACGCCTCCTCCTCCTGTGGGACCAGCTGTATAAACTGTATCAATCTTTAAACTCACAGATGTGTGTTTTTACCGTCATTAAATCCATTTGTATATTTACAGAACCATTGACAACACTCAAGGATGTCAAAGGGCTTTACAATGAAATCACATCAAACCCATTAAAACATCCATACAATCAAAAAATAAAGTTTAAATGCATTTTTTAAAGTTTCACCACGCTAAGGATTGTTAAAAGCCATCTCCCCGCTGTCAGACTGTACAATAAGTCACTTTAAGTCACTAAGAACCAACTCTAGGACTGAAAAAACTCACTATGAAAAACAAATATAAATTATAGTCTGTTTGTTTTTGTTATTTTACATAATAAATCTTGCTATATTTAAACCTTTCTGTTTTTATTAAATGTGACGCGTACATTTCTCCAGTGTGAGATCAATAAAGTTTATCTCATCTTGAATTAATAAGTTTTGAGCCTAGATTTTAAAAAGCTAAACTCAGTGAGCACTTGCACATCAGGGGGAAGCTAGTTCCAGAGTCTGGGTCCAGGACTGAGAAGGACCGGTCTCCCCAAAGTTTGGACAAGCTTTATTTACTGTATATGATCCTTGGTTCGAGACCATGGAGGGCGAGACCATGGAGGGCGAGACCATGGAGGGCGAGACCATGGAGTATGAGACCATGGAGGGTGAGACCATGGAGGGCGAGACCATGGAGGGTGAGACCATGGAGGGTGAGACCATGGAGTATGAGACCATGGAGGGCGAGACCATGGAGTATGAGACCATGGAGGGTGAGACCATGGAGGGCGAGACCATGGAGTATGAGACCATGGAGTGTGAGACCATGGAGGGTGAGACCATGGAGGGTGAGACCATGGAGGGCGAGACCATGGAGTATGAGACCATGGAGGGTGAGACCATGGAGGGCGAGACCATGGAGTATGAGACCATGGAGGGTGAGACCATGGAGGGTGAGACCATGGAGTATGAGACCATGGAGGGTGAGACCATGGAGGGTGAGACCATGGAGGGCGAGACCATGGAGGGTGAGACCATGGAGTATGAGACCATGGAGGGCGAGACCATGGAGTATGAGACCATGGAGGGTGAGACCATGGAGGGTGAGACCATGGAGTGTGAGACCATGGAGGGCGAGACCATGGAGGGTGAGACCATGGAGTATGAGACCATGGAGTATGAGACCATGGAGGGCGAGACCATGGAGGGCGAGACCATGGAGGGTGAGACCATGGAGGGCGAGACCATGGAGTATGAGACCATGGAGTGTGAGACCATGGAGGGTGAGACCATGGAGGGTGAGACCATGGAGTGTGAGACCATGGAGGGTGAGACCATGGAGGGTGAGACCATGGAGTATGAGACCATGGAGGGCGAGACCATGGAGTATGAGACCATGGAGGGTGAGACCATGGAGGGCGAGACCATGGAGTATGAGACCATGGAGTGTGAGACCATGGAGGGTGAGACCATGGAGGGTGAGACCATGGAGGGCGAGACCATGGAGTATGAGACCATGGAGGGTGAGACCATGGAGGGCGAGACCATGGAGTATGAGACCATGGAGGGTGAGACCATGGAGGGTGAGACCATGGAGTATGAGCATGAGACCATGGAGGGTGAGACCATGGAGGGTGAGACCATGGAGGGCGAGACCATGGAGGGTGAGACCATGGAGTATGAGACCATGGAGGGCGAGACCATGGAGTATGAGACCATGGAGGGTGAGACCATGGAGGGTGAGACCATGGAGTGTGAGACCATGGAGGGTGAGACCATGGAGGGTGAGACCATGGAGTATGAGACCATGGAGGGCGAGACCATGGAGTATGAGACCATGGAGGGTGAGACCATGGAGGGCGAGACCATGGAGTATGAGACCATGGAGTGTGAGACCATGGAGGGTGAGACCATGGAGGGTGAGACCATGGAGGGCGAGACCATGGAGTATGAGACCATGGAGGGTGAGACCATGGAGGGCGAGACCATGGAGTATGAGACCATGGAGGGTGAGACCATGGAGGGTGAGACCATGGAGTATGAGACCATGGAGGGTGAGACCATGGAGGGTGAGACCATGGAGGGCGAGACCATGGAGGGTGAGACCATGGAGTATGAGACCATGGAGGGCGAGACCATGGAGTATGAGACCATGGAGGGTGAGACCATGGAGGGTGAGACCATGGAGTGTGAGACCATGGAGGGCGAGACCATGGAGGGTGAGACCATGGAGTATGAGACCATGGAGTATGAGACCATGGAGGGCGAGACCATGGAGGGCGAGACCATGGAGGGTGAGACCATGGAGGGCGAGACCATGGAGTATGAGACCATGGAGTGTGAGAACATGGAGGGTGAGACCATGGAGGGCGAGACCATGGAGTATGAGACCATGGAGGGTGAGACCATGGAGGGCGAGACCATGGAGTATGAGACCATGGAGGGTGAGACCATGGAGGGTGAGACCATGGAGTATGAGACCATGGAGGGTGAGACCATGGAGGGTGAGACCATGGAGGGCGAGACCATGGAGTATGAGACCATGGAGGGCGAGACCATGGAGTATGAGACCATGGAGGGTGAGACCATGGAGGGTGAGACCATGGAGTGTGAGACCATGGAGGGCGAGACCATGGAGGGTGAGACCATGGAGTATGAGACCATGGAGTATGAGACCATGGAGGGTGAGACCATGGAGGGCGAGACCATGGACGGCGAGACCATGGAGGGCGAGACCATGGAGGGCGAGACCATGGAGGGTGAGACCATGGAGGGTGAGACCATGGAGTATGAGACCATGGAGTATGAGACCATGGAGGGCGAGACCATGGAGGGCGAGACCATGGAGGGTGAGACCATGGAGGGCGAGACCATGGAGGGCGAGACCATGGAGGGTGAGACCATGGAGTATGAGACCATGGAGGGTGAGACCATGGAGTGTGAGACCATGGAGGGCGAGACCATGGAGTATGAGACCATGGAGTATGAGACCATGGAGGGTGAGACCATGGAGTGTGAGACCATGGAGGGTGAGACCATGGAGGGCGAGACCATGGAGTGTGAGACCATGGAGGGTGAGACCATGGAGGGTGAGACCATGGAGGGCGAGACCATGGAGTGTGAGACCATGGAGGGTGAGACCATGGAGGGTGAGACCATGGAGGGTGAGACCATGGAGGGTGAGACTATGGAGGGCGAGACCATGGAGTGTGAGACCATGGAGGGTGAGACCATGGAGGGTGAGACCATGGAGGGCGAGACCATGGAGTGTGAGACCATGGAGGGTGAGACCATGGAGGGTGAGACCATGGAGGGCGAGACCATGGAGTGTGAGACCATGGAGGGTGAGACCATGGAGGGCGAGACCATGGAGGGCGAGACCATGGAGGGCGAGACCATGGAGGGTGAGACCATGGAGGGTGAGACCATGGAGGGCTTATGGTCTACTACATAATAATGACCCAATCGTGCGAACGCTAATGTTCCAAAGTTGTGGTCAGATTGTATATATTGAGAAAAATCCCGCACACCGTCTTACTTGCAAATTAAAAATTATTTATCTAAATTGCGACGTTTCGGCGTTATGCCTTCATCAAGCAAACATCGGTTGTTTGCTTGATGAAGGCATAAAGCCTTTTGGACCAAGAGCCACTTTTTGTCCATCCTGTAAATCCATTTTTGAGAGGAAAGAAGACCCCATACAAAAGCATTGGGTAATTCTCTTTCCGGGTACACCCCCACTGGCCCAGAGTGAGATTTATCTACATATCTTCACCCATCTTTGCCGCCTCAATGCATCATGGGTAGAGCTGCCACTGGTGTTCGGTTTGAAGAGTCCACACAAGAAGAGAGAGGAGTTTCCATCGGGCAATGATTCTGAACGATGGTGTGGATTTGATGGTAGGTGTTTCATGGTGCAATGTGATCCCTTCTTTATGTGTCCATGGCATTTGAACCTGTGGCGAGCAGTGGACCAGATCTCACCCTTTGTTGCTCGTACGATTCTGCGGAAGGCTCCGGACACTGGCTCTATCTCGCAATCTCACACTTAATACATCCGTCTACATAGATTTAATACAAATGACAATAATAACAATGCATTGGTGCCCGGAAAGAGAATTACCCAATGCTTCTGTACGGGGTCTTCTTTCCTCTTGAAAACTTCTTTACAGGATGGTCCTAAAGTGGTTCTTGGTCCAAAAGTGGTTCTTGGTCCAAAAGTGGCTCTTGGTCCAAAAGTGGTTCTTGGTCCAAAAGTGGCTCTTGGTCCAAAAGTGGTTCTTGGTCCAAAAGTGGTTCTTGGTCCAAAAGTGGCTCTTGGTCCAAAAGTGGCTCTTGGTCCAAAAGTGGTTCTTGGTCCAAAAGTGGCTCTTGGTCCAAAAGTGGCTCTTGGTCCTAAAGTGGTGTGTCCTCTCTTGGTCCAAAAGTGGCTCTTGGTCCAAAAGTGGTTCTTGGTCCAAAAGTGGCTCTTGGTCCAAAAGTGGTTCTTGGTCCAAAAGTGCGTCCTCTAGCCTCTACAGCCTGTGTCCTCTAGTCTCTACAGCCTGTGTCCTCTAGTCTCTACAGCCTGTGTCCTCTAGTCTCTACAGCCTGCGTCCTCTAGTCTCTACAGCCTGTGTCCTCTAGCCTCTACAGCCTGTGTCCTCTAGTCTCTACAGCCTGTGTCCTCTAGTCTCTACAGCCTGTGTCCTCTAGTCTCTACAGCCTGCGTCCTCTAGTCTCTACAGCCTGTGTCCTCTAGTCTCTACAGCCTGCGTCCTCTAGCCTCTACAGCCTGTGTCCTCTAGTCTCTACAGCCTGTGTCCTCTAGTCTCTACAGCCTGTGTCCTCTAGTCTCTACAGCCTGTGTCCTCTAGCCTCTACAGCCTGTGTCCTCTAGTCTCTACAGCCTGTGTCCTCTAGTCTCTACAGTCTGTGTCCTCTAGTCTCTACAGTCTGTGTCCTCTAGTCTCTACAGCCTGTGTCCTCTAGTCTCTACAGCCTGTGTCCTCTAGTCTCTACAGCCTGTGTCCTCTAGCCTCTACAGCCTGCGTCCTCTAGTCTCTACAGCCTGTGTCCTCTAGTCTCTACAGCCTGCGTCCTCTAGTCTCTACAGCCTGTGTCCTCTAGTCTCTACAGCCTGTGTCCTCTAGTCTCTACAGCCTGTGTCCTCTAGTCTCTACAGTCTGTGTCCTCTAGTCTCTACAGCCTGTGTCCTCTAGTCTCTACAGTCTGTGTCCTCTAGCCTCTACAGCCTGTGTCCTCTAGCCTCTACAGCCTGCGTCCTCTAGTCTCTACAGCCTGCGTCCTCTAGTCTCTACAGTCTGTGTCCTCTAGTCTCTACAGCCTGTGTCCTCTAGTCTCTACAGCCTGTGTCCTCTAGTCTCTACAGCCTGCGTCCTCTAGCCTCTACAGCCTGTGTCCTCTAGTCTCTACAGCCTGCGTCCTCTAGCCTCTACAGCCTGCGTCCTCTAGTCTCTACAGCCTGTGTCCTCTAGTCTCTACAGCCTGTGTCCTCTAGCCTCTACAGCCTGTGTCCTCTAGTCTCTACAGCCTGTGTCCTCTAGTCTCTACAGCCTGTGTCCTCTAGTCTCTACAGCCTGTGTCCTCTAGTCTCTACAGTCTGTGTCCTCTAGCCTCTACAGCCTGCGTCCTCTAGTCTCTACAGCCTGCGTCCTCTAGTCTCTACAGCCTGCGTCCTCTAGTCTCTACAGCCTGTGTCCTCTAGTCTCTACAGCCTGCGTCCTCTAGCCTCTACAGCCTGTGTCCTCTAGTCTCTACAGCCTGTGTCCTCTAGTCTCTACAGCCTGTGTCCTCTAGTCTCTACAGCCTGTGTCCTCTAGTCTCTACAGCCTGCGTCCTCTAGTCTCTACAGCCTGTGTCCTCTAGTCTCTACAGCCTGCGTCCTCTAGTCTCTACAGCCTGTGTCCTCTAGTCTCTACAGCCTGCGTCCTCTAGTCTCTACAGCCTGTGTCCTCTAGTCTCTACAGCCTGTGTCCTCTAGTCTCTACAGCCTGCGTCCTCTAGTCTCTACAGCCTGCGTCCTCTAGTCTCTACAGCCTGTGTCCTCTAGTCTCTACAGCCTGCGTCCTCTAGTCTCTACAGCCTGTGTCCTCTAGTCTCTACAGCCTGTGTCCTCTAGTCTCTACAGCCTGTGTCCTCTAGTCTCTACAGCCTGCGTCCTCTAGTCTCTACAGCCTGTGTCCTCTAGCCTCTACAGCCTGTGTCCTCTAGTCTCTACAGCCTGCGTCCTCTAGTCTCTACAGCCTGCGTCCTCTAGTCTCTACAGCCTGTGTCCTCTAGCCTCTACAGCGCTGCTCAACACCAGGGCTTCGACTTCAAAATTCTAATATAATTCTAAAATAAAAAATATATACATATTTGAACAAATATTAGACAACCCTTATAATTAGAAATGTATTTAATGAGTGCAAGTAAAATAGTTAGCTCCCAAAGGTTTCACCGGGACGTGCTAGGCAGGCAACAGCTAAGCTAGCTAGCTGTTTCATGGTAACTTCCGGGTTTTTCGCGATCGCTTTTTGTCACTTTAAAACAGTATTTTTGTCATGAAAACGTTGACAGCAAATTCTGAAATCGTCCGTGCATGTGTGTTAAGGATGTATATGTATACTGTATTGTCCGATTAACGTTTAATGGTGTTGATTGATTGATATGTATTTGTTTATTGAGCGTGGCTAGCTCCGCTAGCTTCTCTACACAGACAAGTGTGCAGAAAAACTGCACGAGGCGCTAGTGAGCGTAGCCATGTGAAGTTGTTTTTTTCCGAGCTCCTCCGCATGGTCTAGATTTTTACATTTTAATAACTCCAAAGTGGCCCCGAACCTACCCCAAAAACTACCTAAGGTTGTAAGGACCAGAACCGATTCACATTTGGATTTCATCTACTCAAATTTCGGAAACGGTGGGTGGATCATGAGCAAAAACAGAGGCCAGAGAGACCAGGCCGCAAAAGCCCCGGATCCGCCTGCGGCTGCTGCTTCCCCGGACATGAATGTGCTAATGGAGGCTATTGCTAATTCAGAGAAGACAATACTGGAGCGAATTGATTCAAGCACGAAAGACTTGAACGACAAGATAGACACTATCAAAGAAGATATAGTGAAGCAGGACACCCGCTTGCAAGATGTCGAATCTGGTTTGAATGTCTACTCGGATCGCACAGAGCAATTGGAGGATGGTGTTAGCGTGCTGCGGGCGGAGGTAGCTCGGCTAGCTAACAAGCTAGATGACCTGGAGGGGCGTCAGCGCCGATGCAACGCACGCATCGTCGGGGTGAAAGAAGGCTTTGAAAACACCGGGAAGCCGACAGATGTTATTGCCACCATGTTAAAAGACGTACTGGGTCTCGGATTCACCCCTATGCTGGACCGAGCCCACCGCGGCCTGCAGCGACCGGCCCAAAATGGAGACCCTCCCAGAGTGATCGTGGTAAAATTTCATTACTTCCAGGAGAAAGCAGAAGTGTTTAAAACAGCCGCAAACTCGTCGCCACTGAAACTACAGGGTCGGAGAATAAGCATTTTTCCTGACTACACGGCTGATGTGGCCAAAAAGAGAGCTGCTTTCAATGAGGCCAAGCAACTGCTCCGTAGCTGTGCTGGTGTCAAGTTCGGGGTTCTGTTCCCAGCGGTCCTACGAGTCACTTCAGCAACAGGGCAAGACAACCGGTTCACCGACCCATCGACGGCAATTGACTTTATCAAGAAGAACTTACAGCCATAAGGATTAATGGCACGCATATGTGCGAAGATAAAAGTGCTTGAATAAGACTGGAAGGTGAAGGGACATCATCCTACTGCATTGGACTCGGAGCAGAGTCTACATTATCCCTTTGCCTTACTTTCTATACCAAGGTATCGTTTGTTGTTATTAACGGGGACGTTGCGCCTTTTGTGAAGTTTATTTTTACACTAAGTTATGTTAAATACTGTTACCATTTATGATTCATTGACTGTCACTTTAACTGCTAATGTTGTACACATTTAGTGGACAACGTTGGGGGGGGGGGAGTTGCTTTGGAGTTCGATTATATTTTTCATGTAAGAGGAGCTGTTAGGCAGCTATGACTAGTTACAGTGTGGTACTAGCTATGTGGGATGCGATCTCAGGGGTGTTCGTAGATCAGCATGGGGTGTTGAGGCTCTTTTTATTTTTGGGTTTAATTGACAGGAGTGACACTTTTTTCAGATGTACGACTCACAGTTTTAATGGCGGATTCACAAAACAGTAACCGTCTTCGCTTAGTAAGTTGGAACGTCAAAGGCATAAACAATCCGATTAAACGTACCAGAATTTTTACACATCTGAAATCTATTGGTCCTGATGTAATATACTTACAGGAAACGCACCTCAGATCAACCGAGCAGACCAAACTTAGGAAACCATGGATAGGGCAAATATTTAGCTCTAAATATGATGACAGAACACGGGGAACTGCTATTCTTATTCGGAAAG